GTACGGCTATACTTATGCCGGTAGCTCGTCTTGTGGATACCCCGACAACTACCATGGGGAGATATACTTGTATGGAGGGCCGCCCTATCCATATCCGAGCCCTTATTACCCACCATCTCAAGTTGATTTTGATTATTACTCTTCGGGTCATGACGAGATGCCTTACTACTATCCACCACCTCCCGTTTATTATGAAGAGACACCTCCGTCCAAGCCAACTCGAGAAGCTTCTCGAGTCAATCTTGACGAGATTATAGAGCACTTAGAGGAGTGCAATTGATCCCTTCGCGCTTCAATGGCTCCCATATCCGAGAAAGAAGAAACCGAGTCCTATGCCCCACCCTCTCCATCATACGAGCACTTATTGGTGGGCCAACCTTGTACATCTAGTGCCGAAGCTTCATTTCCAACAATGGTTGTGCCTTCCAAACGTCACCGAGAGGTTTTGGCGAGCACTCAAGAGGCACTTGCGAGCCTTATGTCGATCATTGAGGAGTTTCATAGTTGGAGGTGCATTCCAATTCCATCTGTTCTTCAAGTTACACTCATGAAGTTCGACTCTACCGTGGTCTCTTTCCTTGATTTGGATGCATCTCACATTCCACTCAGTAGATATTGTTCTCTATCGGCGAGGGTTATTCGAGAGAGCACTCGGTTAGAAGGCGAGTTTCGAGCTATGGTGGATAGGTTTGCCTCCTTGAAAGAGGTGGGCCTCACTCTCGTTTATGATGGAACACAATCTCTCGACACGAGTGAGGACATCGATGATTTGATTGTTAAAGAAATTCCCTCTCTTGACGATTCGGCCGTGCATTCTACATTAGGTACGTCAAACCTGATTATCTTGTTGTGCAGAATGAGCTTGAGGTTGCCGACACTACAAAGACCGGAGTCGAGGCGGTTGATAGTCCAACGGAGATTCAAGCATGAATTGAACACGAGGTCACGTTCCATCTCCTTGGAATTTTTGAACTTCTCCTTCCCGAGCTCCTTGCCCGCCTCAACACCTAGGTTGAGCATGAAAGTCCCGTACTCAGCCTTTTCCTTTTCGAGCTGCGCAACCTCCAACGTGTGCAACTCCTTCAGTCGGATCAACTCGGCCTCTTTCTCAGCTCGGTCCTGACGGGTCATCTGATGACTCTCTCGCTCCTTCGAGAGTTTCTCACGGGCATCCCTAGCTTTGTCCTCG